TTTTCTCAGATGCAGAAATTAGATACTGGATGGTGAATGAGTTACAACTTGCTTCCCCATCGAAGAACGAGAATTCAGCTCAGACTTACTTGATGAAGGATGATGATGTAGACAATATCACCTTACCTCCTATTGACCCGATTGCAGCGGTACCAGCTAATCTGGATACAGCCTGTTCCAAATCCACGAAGTTCAATCTACACATTTCCCGGTCTTCAACGCCAAGAAATTTGCAGGACACAATATGGACCCCTTTTTGAAGGCCCAAGATATTGATGACAACTTTAAATTAATCAGTGATGCCAAGTCCAGAAATTACAGAATAGACGATCGCAAATTGGCCCAATTGGATACCATCTCTAGGAGAATGTTCTTTGGATTGAATAGATCTAGAACTATTAATGAAACTCTCATCACCAAGTTCAAGAATTCTACAGAGGAGGAAGATAGAATGATCTACTCGGCTCTACTCATGCAGAAAAGAGACCACCAATTTCTTACAGAGCACCTGTCAGCGCGCTTACTGAAACTACTACCATGGCTCGTCGGCAAGGCTTACTAGCCTCCTGCTCTTGGGATAAGCAATTCACAGAATCTCTCTACGCAGCTCCATGGTCATCGCCCTTACTTTTTGGTGGCAACATAGACAAGGTCTCCAAAGAAGTATCTAAGGACTCGAGAGAGGTGCTTATGATCAGATCCATGGATACCCTAGCGAACGTCATTAAACAGTCAACACAGAGATACTCTGGCAAGTCTAAGTTTTCGGGGCTACAGAAAGCACGGGACAAGAAATTAGCTGCAGCTAAAGATCCCAGGGATTCTTTTCGTCGCCCATACAGCAAATTCAGAGGAGGATCAGCTAGAGGCAGATCATCCAGAGGTTCCCGAGGATTTAGACGATGAAATTCAGGTTCGGAACGACTGGAGTCTTCCACCCCAAGCCGTTCCAGTACAACCTTCCCAAGTGGGTGGACGCCTTCAGCTGCACTGGGAAAACTGGGGAATACTACAAGATCCATATGTATCCAACATCCTACAGCACGGATATCTAATACAACTCAAGGCCAAGCCTCCGTTAACAGTCACCCCTCAGGGTTCAACGTTCAACCGGCACAACTACCTATGTTAAGAGAAACAGTAGCTACTCTGCTAAACAAACAGGCCTTAGAAGTTCTGGATCAACGAAACATCGTACCAGGTTTCTACTCCCCAGTTTTCCTAGTGCCCAAGAAAAATTCCAAGGAGAAGTTTCGTCTCATATACAACATGAGCATCTTCAACAGAGAATATCTATGCAAACCACCAACGTTTCGCATGATACACTTACCGCAACTTCGGCACTTAATTCGTCCCAAAGATTACATGGCCAGCATAGATTTGCAAGACGCATATCTACACATTCCGATTCATCCCAACTCAAGGAAATATCTAAGATTTATCCTAGACGGGAAACATTACCAATGGAAGGTTCTTCCCTTCGGGAATCACATCGGCCCCTTGGGTATTCACAAGAGTGACCAAGCCTATTGTCTCATACCTACATCGTCAAGGTCTTCGCAGCGCATTTTACCTAGACGACGGTATACAAGTGGATCCAGATCCACAGCGTCTCAGACTACAGCTGAACTTTATAATCAAGTTACTAACTCAACTAGGATGGTTAGTAAATCTACTCAAGTCGGACCTAGAACCAACGCAAGATCTGCAATTTCTAGGTATACGATTTCTAACAGCTCAGAATCGTATAGTAGTCCCCGGAGGACAGATGGATCAAGATCCAACAACTTATTCCTCAAGCCCTACTCTCTCCGCTACCACTACGACAGTGGCAGAGCCTATTGGGACTACTCACATCAGCTCAAGACTTGACAGTCAGAGGCAGGCTTCAATTACGTCCGTTACAAGTCCTCATCAATGCTCATCTCGAGGACCCTCTACCATTCAGTCTACCAGATTATGTCAAACCACATCTACTCTGGTGGACCAAGAGATTGAATGTTTGCGCAGGCGTCTCCTTAGTAGAGCCGGAATCGAAAACACATCTCTACGTAGACGCGTCACTACAAGGTTGGGGAGCCCACCTTGCCGGCAAGACAGCGTCAGGCCTATGGAGCAAGCAAGAGAGCAAATGTCACATAAATCTGCTAGAGATGCAAGCAGTCATAAACGCCATAAGTCACTGGAGCAACCTACTACAGAACGCTCAGTTGATGGTTCACACAGACAATTCAACAGTGGCGTTTTATGTGAACAAACAAGGCTCAACAAGGTCACAGAACCTACTGGCTCGATGTTTCAGATTATTCGATCTAATCAACAATCTAAACATACACGTCAGAGCTTGCCACATTCCAGGAGCAAAGAATGTATTAGCAGACGCTCTCTCTCTCGGCCACACCAACCGTCGCCGACAGAATGGATGCTCCACACAGAGATATTCAATCAAATAATCATGGAAATAGGATCTCCACTAATAGACCTATTCGCCACTCGATTCAACAAACAACTGACAACATTCGTATCGCCAGTTCCAGACCCACTAGCATGGGCAACGGACGCACTAAGCATATCGTGGGAGGGACTCAACGCGTACGCTTTCCCGCCTCCAGCGTTAATCCCACAAGTCTTACAGAAAATCAGTCAAACGCAGAGCCTCCATCTCATTTTAGTCGCGCCCTACTGGCCAGCGAGAACCTGGTTTCCAGATCTCATTCAAGAAATCGGAAAACCAATTCTTCAGCTCCCACAACGCGCCAATCTATTGATACATCCGCACACCAAACAAGTGCACCAAACACCAGAAGCATTCCAACTTCACGTATGGATTGTATCAAGGCATGTCTGAATAAGAGAGGTTATTCTGCCAGAGCGGCTAAAGCAGTCACGCTTGCACTACGTAACTCAACTCGCAACTTATACGATGACAAATGGCACAGTTTTGTCAATTACGCTGCTAAGAAAGGATTTACAGCCAGATATGCTACACATCCTCAAGTGGCAGATTTCTTATGCTATCTACGTCAAACTAAGAATCTAAAAGGCTCGACCTTGTCCACTTATCTTGCAGCTATAAGTTCTGTGATAACTATGAGAACGGGCGTCAAGTTAACAAAAACACCAGAGTTACTCGCTTTGTTACGAGCGTTCCGATTGGAGGATCAGAAACGGAAGTTTCACGCTCCAGCCTGGGATCTAAATATAGTGCTCCAACACCTCACTAGTGAGGCTTATGAACCATTGCAATCTACATCGTTTGAATCACTGACCCAGAAAACCTTGTTCCTGTTAGCACTAGCTACGGCTGCCAGGATGTCAGAGATTCACGCACTGGATTACGAGAGAACACGCTTTGATGATATTCATAACATCGTTCATCTGGGACTTCGCTGGGATTTTATAGCTAAAAACCAACTGCCAGGTCAACCAGACAGATTATTCCACGTCCCAGCTCTCTCATCCATACTTGGACCTCATGATACGATGGATCTATCACTATGCCCAGTAAGAGCACTGAAAATATATCTCCAACGATCCAAACAGAGCAGAGGGAAATTCAAGAGATTATTTATCCCTATATCTACAGCTACGCAGACGGAAGTCTCACGTACTACTATCTCTATCTGGATCAGAACTGTCATACTACGTGCCTACAAGGCTGCAGGACTCGACCCTCCAAGAGCTTCTAATCCTCACGAAATTAGAGCGCTAGCCTCAACTCTTGCTCTACATGGGAATTGCTCATTGAATACCATAATGGAGGGATGTTTCTGGAGATCCGATATGGTGTTTGCCAACCACTATCTGAGAGATATCACCACCGAGGACGTCTCAGGTATCCACCATTTCGGTCCCATGGTCCTCGCTCAACAGTTGACAGTTCCACGGAGAAGATAAGTCTATCTTACAGATTTTATACTTATCTGATAACAGTACTAATAGCTACAGGCTATCTATATATTTTGCTTAAGTTTAATCTATTATCTTAAGCTCAGTACTATGGTTTTATATCATACTATATATAAGCTAACAACTCCTAGGAGTTTTGCTATTATATATATAATTAGCTTAAGTTTCATCAATTCTTAAGCTCAGTTATATGGTCATATTCATAAATGTATTAGCTAACAAACTCTAAGGAGTTGGTTACTATTATACAGCTTAAGATAAAATTATATCTTAAGCACAGTACTATACTCTTATAGCTTAAGTGTATGCATATCTTAAGCTTAGTACTTTGGTTAATTCATAAAAGTATTCACTATAAACTCACAGAAGTTTATACTATCACATTAATAGCTTCAGCTTACATTAATGTTGTATATACTTTATCATAATAAGTACATTGTAATAACCTTTATATGGCAGCTGATAAGTTAGCAGCAGGAATTCATCAGTTCAGTGCCTTTATGAAGTTCCCATAGGGTTATTACAATCATCACAGTTCAAATCACTAATTATTAAAATCCAAAGTATTATATATTCCCACCTCCTTTTCCGTCGGATTCTACAAGCAATAAGCATGAGTCAGGATAAGGAAAAATATGTAATTTTTAGAGTAAAATTGATATTTTATACTTATCCTGACTCATGAGGTAAGCCCTCCCATCCTCCCCACTTAACACTTGGGATTTTTTTGGAAAAATAAAGTGTCGGACTCGAAACAAAAGGAGAGAGTGAGGCACATGGGTGGAGGTGGAAGCCCTCGCTCACGCCAGCTTGTGGAAGGGAGGTAACTCGTGGTGAGTACTAATTAGTGATTTTTATTGAAGGAACTTCAACTGGGAGATACACGTGTTCCACTATGTTCGCAAAGAAGAAGAAGACAAGCAATAAGCATGAGTCAGGATAAGTATAAAATATCAATTTTACTCTAAAAATTACTTTTTCTGATGTGATTGAAGCCTTCACTGGGTATACCTGATGATATATAGATGAGGCCTTCACAGGGTATACCTGGTGATATGAATGGGGCCTTTCAAGCATGCTCGTTGTTGCAGATGGAGGACAAGGCTGTCAAGGAGACGCCCCATATTGGCATGTACCCTCTTGTCACAATCATCGGGAACGGAGTTGCAGAAATCAAAGTGAAGAATTTGAATTCTCCTCCTCAGGTGAGTGTAACACTCATTGTTGGAAAACAGAAATCAACTGGAGAACTACTGCATTGTTACCTGTTGTAGAACTACTGCATTGTTTACCTGTGTTAGAACTACTGCATTGGTTACCTGTGTTAGAACTACTGCATTGGTTACCTGTGGGAGAAATACTGCATTGTTACCTGTTGTAGAACTACTGCATTGTTTACCTGTTGTAGAACTACTGCATTGTTTACCTGTGTTAGAACTACTGCATCGGTTACCTGTGGAAGAAATACTGCATTGTTACCTGTGTTAGAACTACTACATCGGTTACCTGTGGAAGAAGTATTACATTGGTTACCTGTGGGAGAAATACTGTCTTGTTTACCTGTGAGAGATGTATTGCATTGATAAAAAGAAGAGGCCCTTAATTCAGTATGGTATAAGAGTCATTATCGATATTTTTAGGGTTTGATTACCCAATGGGAAAGAGACAAGAAGACATTTGAACAAGGTTACCTTCAGAACATGCTTTGTGATGAAGACGGTGTACTATCGTAAGTATTGTGTGATGAAGACGGTGTACTATCGTAAGTATTGTGTGATGAAGACGGTGTACTATCATAAGTATTGTGTGATGAAGACGGTGTACTATCGTAAGTATTGTGTGATGAAGAAGGTGTATCGTAGAATGTATTGTGTGATGAAGACGGTGTACTATCAAAAGTATTGTGTGATGAAGAAGGTGTATCGTAGAATGTATTGTGTGATGAAGACGGTGTACTATCGTAAGTATTGTGTGATGAAGAAGGTGTATCATAGAATGTATTGTGTGATGAAGACGGTGTACTATCGTAAGTATTGTGTGATGAAGAAGGTGTATCCTTGAAAGTATTGTGTGATGAGAAAGGTGTCCTGTCATAGATATTGTGAAGGTGTACTGTAGTAAGTGTTGTGTGATGAAGGTGTACTGTAGTAAGTGTTGTGTGATGAAGGTGTACTGCAGTTAGTGTTGTGTGATGAAGGTGTACTGTAGTAAGTATTGTGTGATGAAGGAGTACTGCAGTAAGTGTTGTGATGAAGGTGTACTGCAGTAATGTTTGATGAAGGTGTACTGCAGTAAGTGTTGTTTGTGATGTGAAGGTGTACTGTAGTAAGTGTTGTGTGATGAAGGTGTACTGTAGTAAGTGTTGTGTGATGAAGGTGTACTGCAGTAAGTGTTGTGTGATGAAGGTGTACTGTAGTAAGTGTTGTGTGATGAAGGTGTACCAGAAGTAAGTGTTGTGTGATGAAGGTGTACTGCAGTAAGTGTTGTGTGATGAAGGTGTACTGTAGTAAGTGTTGTGTGTGAAGGTGTAGTGCAGTAAGTGTTGTGTGATGAAGGTGTAGTGTAGTAAGTATTGTGTGATGAAGGTGTACTGCAGTAAGTGTTGTGTGATGAAGGTGTACTGTAGTAAGTATTGTGTCATGAAGGTGTACTGCAGTAAGTGTTGTGTGATGAAGGTGTACTGTAGTAAGTGTTGTGTGATGGTGTACTGTAGTGTTGTGTGATGAAGGTGTACTGCAGTAAGTGTTGTGTGATGAAGGTGTACTGTAGTAAGTGTTGTGTGATGAAGGTGTACTGCAGTAAGTGTTGTGTGATGAAGGTGTACTGTAGTAAGTGTTGTGTGATGAAGGAGTACTGTAGTAAGTGTTTTGTGATGAAGGTGTACTGTAGTAAGTATTGTGTGATGAAGGTGTACTGTAGTGTTGTGTGATGAAGCTGTACTGTAGTAAGTGTTGTGTGATGAAGGTGTACTGCAGTAAGTGAGGTCTGATGAAGGTGTCCTGTATTAAGTGTTGTGATCCTGGAGGTGATACAGACATGAGAGTATGTTTTCAGTGATCCTGGAGGTGATACAGAAATGAGAATATGTTGTCAGTGATCCTGCAGGTGATACATACATGAGAGTGTGTTGTCAGTGATCCTGGAGGTGATACGGACATGAGAGTGTGTTGTCAGTGATCCTGGAGGTGATACAGACATGAGAGTGTGTTGTCAGTGAACCTGGAGGTGATACAGACATGAGAGTATGTTGTCAGTGATATTGGAGGACACAAAGACATGGGAATGTGTTGTCAGTGATCCTGGAGGTGACACAGACATGACAATGTGTTGTCAGTGATCCTGGAGGTGATACAGACATGAGAGTATGTTGTCAGTGATACTGGAGGTGATACAGACATGAGAATGTGTTGTCAGTGATCCTGGAGGTGTCACAGACATGAGAGTATGTTGTCAGTGATATTGGAGGTGATACAGACATGAGAGTGTGTTGTCAGTGATATTTGAGGTGACACTGACATGAGAAGACAGTGATGGAGGTGGACATGAGAGTGTGTTGTCAGTGATCCTGAGGTGATACTGACATGAGAAGAATGTTTTGTCAGTGATCCTGAGGTGATACATACATGAGAGTGTGTTGTCAGTGATCCTGCAAGTGATGCAGACATGAGAATGTGCGTTGTCAGTGATATTGTTGAGGTGATACAGACATGAGAATGTGTTGTCAGTGTTGTCACAGACGTGAGAATCAGTGATACTGCAGGTGATACAGACATGAGAATGTGTTGTCAGTGATCCTGGAGGTGATACAGACATGAGAGTGTGTTGTCAGTGATTCTGAGGTTGACATGACACATACAGACATGAGAATGTGTTGTCAGTGATCCTGAGGTGACACAGACATGAGAATGTGTTGTCAGTGATCCTGGAGGTGATACAGACATGAGAGTGTGTTGTCAGTGATACTGGAGGTGATACAGACATGAGAATGTCAGTGATCGTGGAGGTGATACCATGGAGGTATCAGTGATCCTACATTACATGAGACAGACATGAGAATGTGTGTTGATCAGGTGATACAGACTGAGGTGATGACAGACATGAGAATGTGTTGTCGGTGATCCTGGAGGTGTCACAGACATGAGAATGTGTTGTCAGTGATACTGGAGGTGATACAGACATGAGAATGTGTTGTCGGTGATCCTGGAGGTGTCACAGACATGAGATCAGCGATGAGGTGATACAGACATGAGCAGTGTGTTGTCAGTGATATTGAGGTGATACAGACATGAGAATGTGTTGTCAGTGATATTGGAGGTGAGACAGACATGAGAGTGTGTTGTCAGTGATATTGGAGGTGATACAGACATGAGAGTGTGTTGTCAGTTAACCTGGAGGTGATACATACATGAGAGTGTGTTGTCAGTGATCCTGCAGGTGATACAGACATGAGAATGTGTTGTCAGTGATATTGGAGGTGATACAGACTTGAGTGTGTGTTGTCAGTGATCCTGGAGGTGATACAGACATGAGAATGTGTTGTCAGTGATATTGGAGGTGAGACAGACATGAGAGTGTGTTGTCAGTGATATTGGAGGTGATACAGACATGAGAGTGTGTTGTCAGTGGAGGTAACAGACTGGAGGTGAGTACATGATAGTGATACAGACATGAGATTGGTGTGTTGTCAGTGATCCTGGAGGTGATACAGACATGAGAGTGTGTTGTCAGTGATATTGGAGGTGATACAGACATGAGAGTGTGTTGTCAGTGATATTGGAGGTGATACAGACATGAGTGTGTGTTGTCAGTGATATTGGAGGTGATACAGACATGAGAGTGTGTTGTCAGTGATATTGAGGATTACATGCGATACAGACATGAGAGTGTTGTCAGTGATATTGAGGTGATACAGACATGAGAGTGTGTTGTCAGTGATATTGAGGTGATACAGTCATGAGAGTGTGTTGTCAGGTTATATTGGAGGTGATACAGTGACATGAGGTGATACAGACACGAGAGTGTGTTGTCAGTGATATTGGAGGTGATACGGACATGAGAGTATGTTGTCAGTGATCCTAGAGGTGATTCAGACATGTGAGTGTGTTGTCAGTGATCCTGGAGGTGATACGGACATGGGAATGTGTTTCCAAGAAGTGATGCATCAATGTTAATGGTTCCTCTTCCAGATTTGCCAAATCCTACAAGACCTCTGACCTGAAGGGACTGTGTGTCAACCTACTCCCAATTACCAAGGCCAACAACAGTTGTACTGTTCAGTTGGTCAAGCAAGGACAGAATGGCCATGTTACTATTGGCCTTGGACCAGAGAACCTCTCTGGTGAGCAGGGCATCGGCAGTACGGCAGGGTCAGCTGGTTTCAGTCTCACGGATGGAATGTAAGCCCTTTGTACATTTCACCCCAAACTGTTTCCAAAGAGAATATCTCTTGGTAGAGATCAAGTAATAGCTCCTTGAAGATATCTGTACAATGGATTGCATGCAATGAGTTTGCTGAATATTGTAGTGTCGTTGTTTGGAATGCATCCCCATCTTGGTAGATTATTCATTTCTCTGCCAATGAAGCTGGATAATTTTTAAACATTCTTAAACATTGTTACTGTTTTCACTTAAGGGGTGTGTTAGTACTGTTTACACTCAAGGCACTGATTGTCACTTTCTACATTCAAAAACACTGATTGTCACAGTTTGCACACAATGCATGTCACTCATAGTACACCTGGACAATACCATGTCACTCATAGTACACCTGGACAATAACGTGCAATCATAGACAATACACCTGGACAATAACGTGGACAATACCATGTCACTCATAGTACACCGTGAACGTGGCAATTTCATGTCATAACGGTCTCATAGTACACCTGACAATAACATGTCACTCATAGTACACCTGGACAATAACATATCACTCATAGTACACCTGGACAATACCATGTCACTCATAGTACACCTGGACAATACCATGTCACTCATAGTACACCTGGACAATACCATGTCACTCATAGTACACCTGGACAATACCATGTCACTCATAGTACACCTGGACAATGTCACCCTGTCACTCATAGTACACCTGCACACAATACCATGTCATGTACATAGTACACCATGTCTGGCATAGTAATGGTTAATACCATGTCTCATAGTACACCTGGACAATACCATGTAACTCATAGTACACCTGGACAATACCATGTCAGTCATAGTACACCTGGCTAATACCATGTCACTCATAGTACACCTGGACAATAACGTGTCACTCATAGTGCACCTAGAAAATAATGTGTCACTCATAGTACACCTGGACAATAATGTGTCACTCATAGTACACCTGGGCAATTTCATGTCACTCATAGTACACATGGACAATAACTATTTAACGTGACACTCATAGTACCCCTGGACAATAACATATCATTCATAGTACACCTGGACAATACCATGTCACTCATGGTACACCTGGGCAACAACATATCACTCAAAATACACCTGGACAATACCATGTCACTCATAGTACATCTGGACAATAACATTTTACTCATAGTACACCTGGACAATACCATGTCACTCATAGTACACCTGGACAATAACATCTCACTCATAGTACACCTGGACAATACTATTTCACTGATAGTACACCTGGACCATAACATGTCACTTATAGTACACCTGGACAATAACATGTCACCATGTGCACTCCATAGTACACCTGGACAATACCCTGTCAGTCATTGTACACCTGGCTAATACCATGTCACTCACAGTACTCCTGGACAATACCATGTCACTCATAGTACACCTGGACAATACTATATCACTGATAGTACACCTGGACCATAACATGTCACTCATAGTACACCTGGACAATAATGTGTGACTCATAGTACACCTGGACAATACTATGTCACTCATAATAAACCTGCACAATAAAGTGTCAGTGATAGTACACCTGGACAATAGCATATCACTCATAGTACACCTGGCTAACACCATGTCACTCATAGTACACCTGGACAATAACTTGTCACTCATAGTACACCTGGACAATACCATGTCACTCATAGTACACCTCGACAATAACATATCACTCATAGTACCCCTGGACAATAACATATCACTCATAGTACACCTGGACAATACCATGTCACTCATAGTACACCTAGGCAATAACATATCACTCTTAGTACACCTGGAGAATACCATGTCACTCACAGTACACCTGGACAATAACGTGTCACTCATAGTACACCTGGACAATAACATGTCACTCATAGTACACATGGACAATACCATGTCACTCATAGTACACATGGACAATACCATGTCACTCATAGTACACCTGGACAATACCATGTCACTCATAGTACACCTGGACAATAACATGTCACTCATAGTACACCTGGACAATACCATATCACTCATAGTATGCCTGGAAAATTATGTGTCACTCATAGTACACCTGGCTAATTCCATGTCACTCATAGTACACCTGGACAATACCATGTCACTCATAGTACACATGGACAATAACATGTCACTCATAGTACACCTGGCTAATACCATGTCACTCATAGTGCACCTGCACAATATCATGTCAGTCATAGTGAAGTGTAACACGTGTAATTCAGACACCTGTTTACAGTAATGTAGCATAGTTTCTTCACTCTAATGCCAGACAGTATTTACAAATCAAGACAATGTCTTTCAGAAACTGGTTAAATGCAACGTGTCATTTTGGGGATTACACTTTCTTTGTTATCAAAGTCATTGCATATTCTTGGCTTTCAACTATAGGAGCTGTGGCAATTTACGCTAGTCAGGGGGTACACACAGTTCATGATCTAGTCAGGGTGTACACACAGTTCACGATCTAGTCAGGGGGTACACACAGTTCACGATCTAGTCAGGGGGTACACACAGTTCATGATCTAGTCAGGGGGTACACACAGTTCACGATCTAGTCAGGGGGTACACACAGTTCACAATCTAGTCAGGGGTACACACAGTTCACAATCTAGTCAGGGATACACACAGTTCATGATCTAGTCAGGGGTACACACAGTTTACAATCTAGTCAGGGGTACACACAGATCATGATCTAGTCAGGGGGTACACACAGTTCATGATCTAGTCAGGGGGTACACACAGTTCATGATCTAGTCAGGGGGTACACACAGTTCACGATCTAGTCAGGAGGTACACACAGTTCATGATCTAGTCAGGGGGTACATACAGTTCATGATCTAGTCAGGGGGTACTCAGTTCATGATCTAGTCAGGGGGTACACACAGTTCATGATCTAGTCAGGGGTGCACACAGTTTACAGTCTAGTCGGGTACACACAGTTCATGATCTAGTCAGGGGGTACACACAGTTCATGATCTAGTCAGGGGGTACACACAGTTCATGATCTAGTCAGGGGGTACACACAGTTCACGATCTAGTAAGGGGGTACACACAGTTCACAATCTAGTCGGGGGGTACACACAGTTCACAATCTAGTCAGGGGTACACACAGTTCATGATCTAGTCAGGGGTACACACAGTTTACAATCTAGTCAGGGTACACACAGTTCATGATCTAGTCAGGGGGTACTCAGTTCATGATCTAGTCAGGGGTACACACAGTTCATGATCTAGTCAGGAGGTACACACAGTTCATGATCTAGTCAGGGGGTACACACAGTTCATGATCTAGTCAGGGGGTACACACAGTTCATTATCTAGTCGGGGGTACACACAGTTCATTATCTAGTCAGGGGGTACACACAGTTCACAATCTAGTCAGGGGTACACACAGTTCACAATCTAGTCAGGGGGTACACACAGTTCATGATCTAGTCGGGTACACACAGTTCACAATACCTAGTCAGTACACACAGTTCATGATCTAGTCAGGGGGTACACACAGTTCATGATCTAGTCAGTACTCAGTTCATGATCTAGTCAGGAGTACACACAGTTCATGATCTTGTCAGGGGGTACACACAGTTCATGATCTAGTCAGGGGGTACACACAGTTCATGATCTAGTCAGGGGTACAACACAGTTCATGATCTAGTCAGGGTACACACAGTTCATGATCTAGTCAGGGGTACACACAGTTCACGATCTAGTCTAGAGTGCACACACAGTTCACAATCTAGTCAGGGGTACACACAGTTCACAATCTAGTCAGGGTACACACAGTTCATGATCTAGTCAGACAGTACACACAGTTCATGATCTAGTCAGGGGTACTCAGTTCATGATCTAGTCAGGGGGTACACACAGTTCATGATCTAGTCAGGGGTACTCAGTTCATGATCTAGTCAGGGGTACACACAGTTCATGATCTAGTCAGGGGGTACACACAGTTCATGATCTAGTCAGGGGTACACACAGTTCATGATCTAGTCAGGGGGTACACACAGTTCATGATCTAGTCAGGGGGTACACACAGTTCACGATCTAGTCAGGGGGTACACACAGTTCACAATCTAGTCAGGGGTACACACAGTTCACAATCTAGTCAGGGGTACACACAGTTCATGATCTAGCCAGGGGTACACACAGTTTACAATCTAGTCAGGGGTACACACAGTTCATGATCTAGTCAGGGGGTACACACAGTTCATGATCTAGTCAGGGGTACTCAGTTCATGATCTAGTCAGGGGTACACACAGTTCATGATGTAGTCAGGGGCTACACACAGTTCACGATCTAGTCAGGGGGTACACACAGTTCATGATCTAGTCAGGAGGTACACACAGTTCATGATCTAGTCAGGGGGTACACACAGTTCACAATCTAGTCAGGGGTACACACAGTTCATGATCTAGTCAGGGGGTACACACAGTTCATGATCTAGTCAGGGGTACTCAGTTCACGATCTAGTCAGGGGTACACACAGTTCATGATCTAGTCAGGGGGTACACACAGTTCATGATCTAAACTACCATTTGTCTGATTTTCTGTTTGTTGAAATCTTGGAAGCTGGGGGTTAGATAACTGACTTTGTGTGTAGTCAAGTTGGTGCCTTAGAATGTGGTTTCAAATCGCAGATTGGACTCGGCCCCAAAATACAAGAATCTGGACTTCTTTGAGAAATTGTAATTCACAATTCACTTCAAAATACTGTATATGATCGTCTATAAGCCGAATTCGTTTCGATCCGTGAGTAGACACAATACATATGACAGTGAATTTTTTGAATAATGTGGATTGACTTACAGTATGAGGAGGACAGTGACACGGAATTTGACGGGTTTACGGCCGATGACTTGTGAAAATCTCAGAACTCTCTTGCAGAAATGTCAGTGTTTGTTGTTAGTGGACTATTTTTCTTATTGTCATATATATATAGATGAAATATGGACACTTAAATAATATATTTTGAAACAAAAGTTGACTTCAGTTTTTATTTCCACCGATGGTACTTTTTCTCTCCATACTCACCGATTTCACAAATGGCGTCTCGTTGTTGATGCAAGCAGTGATCGTCGGGATATAAAAGGAACACAAACACATGTTGCCACAATACACGGTAATCTTTATTATGTAATATTCTTACCAACACTTACGCTGCATATCCACTTTCCAAATGGCGCCTCGTTGTTGATGCATGCAAGCAGTGATCATTAAAAAGGTAAAACAAACACCGTAATCTTTATTATGTAATATTCTCGTAATGGTGTCTCGTCGTTGATGGAACATACTTACCGGGTACTCTGGTCTCTGTTGGCCGCGACCCATCGCGGGGGGTCGGCCTATCCATGAGAGATATGATTTTGACACTGATTTTGAGGGTCAAGTTTGGGGGTCGGCTTATCCATGGGGTCGGCTTATAGACGGTCATATACGGTACTTATTTTACAGGATCATGGTTAACAAGTCAAGAACAGAGACCAACACCCCTTGCAAAGTTGGAGACAAGGTGACCTTGGTTGTCAGTGGCTTCACCACAGACTTGATTCAACCTGAACAGAAAATCAAAGTTACAGTCTCTGTCAACAAAAAAGAGGTACATTATTTAACACTGGCTGGCTGTCAACAGAAGGTAGTTACATGATTTAACACTGACTGTCTGTCAACAGAAGGTAGTTACATGATTTAACACTGGCTGACTTCATAATGTAGTTACATGATTAAACACTGGCTGACTTCATAATGTAGTTACATGATTAAACACTGGCTGGCTGTCAACAGTAGGGAGTTACATGATTTAACACTGGCTGGCTGTCAACAGATTGTAGTTACATGATTTAACACTGGCTGGCTGTCAACAGTAGGGAGTTACATGATTTAACACTGGCTGGCTGTCAACAGAAGGTAGTTACATGATTTAACACTGGCTGGCTGTCAACAGAAGGTAGTTACATGATTTAACACTGACTGGCTGTCAACAGTAGGGAGTTACATGATTTAACACTGGCTGGCTGTCAACAGAAGGTAGTTACATGATTTAACACTGGCTGGCTGTCAACAGTAGGGAGTTACATGATTTAACACTGGCTGGCTGTCAACAGAAGGTAGTTACATGATTTAACACTGGCTGGCTGTCAGCAGAAGGTAGTTACATGATTTAACACTGGCTGGCTGTCAACAGAAGGTAGTTACATGATTTAACACTGGCTGGCTGTCAACAGAAGGTAGTTACATGATTTAACACTGGCTGGCTGTCAACAGAAGGTAGTTACATGATTTAACACTGGCTGGCTGTCAACAGAAGGTAGTTACATGATTTAACACTGGCTGGCTGTCAACAGAAGGTAGTTACATGATTTAACACTAGCTGGCTGTCAACAGAAGGTAGTTACATGATTTAACACTGGCTGGCTGTCAACAGAAGGTAGTTACATGATTTAACACTGGCTGGCTGTCAACAGAAGGTAGTTACATGATTTAACACTGACTGGCTGTCAACAGTAGGGAGTTACATGATTTAACAAGGCTGGCTGTCAACAGAAGGTAGTTACATGATTTAACACTGGCTGGCTGTCAACAGTAGGGAGTTACATGATTTAACACTGGCTGGCTGTCAACAGAAGGTAGTTACATGATTTAACACTGGCTGGCTGTCAACAGAAGGTAGTTACATGATTTAACACTGGCTGGCTGTCAACAGAAGGTAGTTACATGATTTAACACTGGCTGGCTGTCAACAGAAGGTAGTTACATGATTTAACACTGGCTGGCTGTCAACAGAAGGTAGTTACATGATTTAACACTGACTGTCTGTCAACAGAAGGTAGTTACATGATTTAACACTGGCTGGCTGTCAACGGAAGGTAGTTACATGATTTAACACTGACTATCAACAGTAGGGAGTTTCTTGGTAAAACACAGACTATCTCTGCCAACATATGTAGTCACAGAACACAACACAACACTGGGTTACTCACTGTTGAAATTTCTGTTTGTGCAGGTTGGTAGTTGTGACCTGGTGTTCACTACAACACTGGGCAACAGGTGTGTGTTCCAAGTCAGCATAGACAATGAGGACAATCAGGTGCAACTCCTTAATTACCGGAAACCATACATGTCACAGGTGAGTGAAAACATGCAGGTGGTGTGACACAGGTGCTACAGATTACAGGTAGTCACAACATACAGGTGTACAACAGCCTTTAGATTACAGGTAGTCACAACACACAAGTGTACAACAACCTTTAGATTATAGAACAAAATTTATGGATAACAACTTCTTTTATTCGTGAGTGCGACGTTTCGATACAGATTCTTGTACCGTTGTCAAGCATAATGGGACATGAAGAAGGGGGAAGTGTATATATACTGGATGTAACAATGTAACAAAGAAACAACATAATTAACATAATTGGCTAGGCAGAAAGCTGAAGAAGCCAGAGAGTAGACAAAGGACAGGCGTGGAAGCCAATGATGTACAAATAATAATGAGATGTTTATACAGCAGAGTTTATACAGTAGATTGGGCTTGGTGGATGAGTGCATCATAAGCGGATGGAATGAAGTATCCTTGGTCTCGGTTGATGGTGGGCTTTTGGCGTTTGATGTGGATGGTTTTGGTGAGTTTGCGTTTAGTGAAGTCTGTTTGTTTGTTAGAGAGAATGGTGATGTCAGACCACTCTATTTGATGATTGGGGCTTGCTTTGATGTGGTCGGAAATGGCTGATTTGCTGTCGGTATTGGTCCCATTATGCTTGACAACGGTACAAGAATCTGTATCGAAACGTCACACTCACGAATAAAAGAAGTTGTTATCCATAAAGTTTGTTCTATATTGTACTTCCCAACTTCTAAAATGCCACTCAAAGAAGTTAACCTTTAGACTACAGGTAGTCACAGCATACAGGTGAACAACAACTTTTAGATTACAGGTAGTCACAGCATACAGGTGAACAACAACTTTATGATTACAGGTAGTCATAACATACAGTTGTACAACAACTTTTAGATTACAGGTAGTCATAACATACAGGTGTACAACAACCTTTTGATTACAGGTAGTTATAACATACAGGTGAACAACAACTTTAAGATAACAGGTAGTCATAACATACAGGTGTACAACAACTTTTAGATTACAAGAAGTAATAACATACGTGTACAAAAACTTTTGGATTACAGGTAGTCACAACATACAGTTGTATCATAGCATACAGATTACAGGTAGTTATGACATACAGGTGCACAACAACTTTTAGATTACACATAGTTATAACATGCAGATGTTCCAACAACTTTTAGATTACACATAGTTATAACATGCAGATGTTCCAACAACTTTTAGATTATACATAGATATAACATGCAGATTGCAACAACTTTTAGATTACACATAGTTATAACATGCTGATGTTCCAACAACTTTTACATTATACATAGATATAACATGCAGATGTTCCAACAACTTTTAGATTATACATAGTTATAACATGCAGATGTTCCAACAACTTTTAGATTATACATAGATATAACATGCAGATGTTCCAACAACTGTTAGATTATACATAGATATAACATACAGATTGCAACAACTTTTAGATTACACATAGTTATAACATGCTGATGTTCCAACAACTTTTACATTATACATAGTTATAACATGCAGATGTTCCAACAACTTTTAGATTACACATAGTTATAACATGCTGATGTTCCAACAACTTTTAGATTACACATAGTTATAACATGCAGATTACAACAACTTTTAGATTACACATAGTTATAACATGCTGATGTTCCAACAGCTTTTAGATTATACATAGTTATAACATGCTGATGTTCCAACAACTTTTAGATTACACATAGTTATAACATGCAGATGTTCCAACAACTTTTAGATTATACATAGATATAACATGCAGATTGCAACAACTTTTAGATTACACATAGTTATAACATGCTGATGTTCCGACAATGCAGATGTTTTTTTTTAGATTATACATAGTTATAACATGCAGATGTTCCAACAACTTTTAGATTATACATAGATATAACATGCTGATGTTCCAACAACTTTTAGATTACACAGTTATAACATGCAGATGTTCCAACAACTTTTAGATTATACATAGTTATAACATGCAGATGTTCCAACAACTTTTAGATTATACATAGATATAACATGCAGATTACAACAACTTTTAGATTACACATAGTTATAACATGCTGATGTTCCAACAACTTTTAGATTACACATAGTTATAACATGCAGATGTTCCAACAACTTGTTAGATTATACATAGTTATAGCATGCAGATTACAACAACTTTTAGATTACACATAGTTATAACATGCTGATGTTCCAACAACTTGTTAGATTATACATAGTTATAGCATGCAGATTACAACAACTTTTAGATTACACATAGTTATAACATGCAGATGTTCCAACAACTTGTTAGATTATACATAGTTATACGATGCAGATGTTCCAACAACTTTTAGATTACACATAGTTATAACATGCAGATGTTCCAACAACTTGTTAGATTATACATAGTTATAGCATGCAGATTACAACAACTTTTAGATTACACATAGTTATAACATGCAGATGTTCCAACAACTTGTTAGATTATACATAGTTATAACATGCAGATGTTCCAACAACTTGTTAGATTATACATAGTTATAACATGCAGATGTTCCAACAACTTTTAGATTATACATAGATATAACATGCAGATTACAACAACTTTTAGATTACACATAGTTATAACATGCTGATGTTCCAACAACTTTTAGATTACACATAGTTATAACATGCAGATGTTCCAACAACTTGTTAGATTATACATAGTTATAGCATGCAGATTACAACAACTTTTAGATTACACATAGTTATAACATGCTGATGTTCCAACAACTTTTAGATTACACATAGTTATAACATGCAGATGTTCCAACAACTTGTTAGATTATACATAGTTATAGCATGCAGATTACAACAACTTTTAGATTACACATAGTTATAACATGCTGATGTTCCAACAACTTTTAGATTACACATAGTTATAACATGCTGATGTTCCAACAACTTGTTAGATTATACATAGTTATAGCATGCAGATGTTCCAACAACTTGTTAGATTATACATAGTTATAGCATGCAGATTACAACAACTTTTAGATTACACATAGTTATAACATGCTGATGTTCCAACAACTTTTAGATTACACATAGTTATAACATGCTGATGTTCCAACAACTTGTTAGATTATACATAGTTATAGCATGCAGATTACAACAACTTTTAGATTACACATAGTTATAACATGCAGATGTTCCAACAACTTTTAGATTATACATAGTTATAACATGCAGATGTTCCAACAACTTTTAGATTATACATAGTTATAACATGCAGATGTTCCAACAACTTTTAGATTACACATAGTTATAACATGCTGATGTTCCAACAACCTTTTAGATTACACATAGATATAACATACAGATGTTACAACAACTTTTAGATTACACATAGTTATAACATGCAGATGTTCCAACAACTTTTAGATTACACATGGTTATAAGATGCAGAAGTTCCAACAACTTTTAGATTACACATAGTAATAACATTCTGATGTTCCAACAACTTTTAGATTACACATAGATATAACATGCAGATGTTCCAACAACTTTTAGATTACACATAGATATAACATGCAGATGTTCCAACAACTTTTAGATTACACATAGATATAACATGCAGATGTTCCAAGAACTTTTAGATTACACATAGATATAACATGCAGATGTTCCAACAACTTTTAGATTACACATAGTTATAACATGCAGATGTTCCAACAACTTTTAGATTACACATAGTTATAACATGCTGATGTTCCAACAACTTTTAGATTACACATAGTTATAACATGCTGATGTTCCAACAACTTTTAGATTATACATAGTTATAGCATGCAGATTGCAACAACTTAAAGTTTACACTTAGGGACCGTTCATAATTTATGGCAGGGGGGGGCTGGGGGTGATGATGATTTTAAGGGGTCACCCATTTTGTTCTGGGGAGGCAGTGGGGGTCATCAATTTTGAACTCATGTACTAGGGTGGTGGTGGTCAGCAATTTTGTACATGAAAATATTTTAAATATTATTCTTAAACAAAATTGGAAGGGGAAGGGTGGTGGTAATTGATTTTGTACATGACATGCAGGGGGTCACTTACTATGTACATAAATTTTAGGCTTCTCCATAAAAATCATCACACACACACACACACACACACACACACACACACACACACACACACACACACACACACACACACACAATTACACACGGTCCACACACACACGGCCATACAGATTACAACCACTTTTAGATTACACTTAGTCACAAAACACAGATGTACAACAACATACAGGTGTAACATCAACTTTTAGATTACATTTAGTTATTACATACAGGTGTACATGAACTTTTGGATTACAGGTAGTCACAACATATAGATGTATAACAACCTTTGGATTACAGGTGTTAAAAAACATGCATTCAATCACCTGTCTATTTGTCTTTACAGCCACCAGTCATGGACAAGCTGACAATGGGTCGTTCAAACTACATTAATGTGTACGATGATGGCACTCTTCAGTACAGGTGAGGCATCCAGGGCCCAACCTACTCCACATTAACTGTGTCTATATAACAATGACAAATGATGCAGATGTAAGAAGCACAAATTTCCATAGTTCTCGCTATGAGAAACAATATAAGATAATGTTTTTGTTCTTTTGACCAGAAAATTTGATTCTCGTGCACATTTTGGGCTGTACATGTCCAAGACAGCACTGAACGCCCAGCTGAGATATTTTGAGATGCAGATTCAGAGCTCATCCCCACACAAGCACATTGGTATCGGTCTGTGCCATCGCAGCTACAGGATCAACAACATGCCTGGCTCGCGGCTCCATTGCTTACCATGCGGATAATGGCTCCATTGCTTACTGACTGACTGAGTTTGGTTTCGCCAGCTTTTAGGACGGCGGGGACGGCCAGTCACACAAGTGCCCCATTGTCTTCTATAGGAATAAGTCAGGTACTTCCACTGACTGATTAACTACATTCATTTTCATTCCTAGTTAAAGTTGACATCTGCTATATTTGGTGTTACACTTTCTTTACAAAGAATATATTTGTCTACTGTGTTACTTTACTGAGGTCCTAAGTTTAACTGTGGTCTTGGTGACTGTTGACACAACACATGAACAATGAAAAGGTGGTTGTTATTCAATCAGTCCAATAACTGAACAACATGATATCATGAGTCTAAACATTGCACTGTGATGATCTGTGGTATTCTACATGACAGTTTGCAATCTATCTAAGTGACAATCTAGCAACTGTGGTCTTGTGTCTACTTAGTGTTGACACAACACATGCACAATGAACAACTGTGATCTTGTATCTACTCAGTGTTGACACAACACATGAACAATGAACAACTGTGTCTTGTAATCAGTTTGACACAACACATAGAACAACTGTGATCTTTTATGGATAACAACATGCACAATGAACAACTTATCTTGTTTATTCAGTGTTGACACAACACATGCACAATGACAACGGTCTTTATAGAAAATCTTTATCGATAACAACGTATTTTTTATTTGTGAGTAATGACAATGGTACAAGAATCTTATCCATAAAGCACTTTGTTCCTAAGTTTTGTAGTTGTAGTTCAACTTCTAAAATGCCACTCAAAGAAGTTAAACTGTGATCTTGTGTCTACTCACTGAAATATTGCTGCCTGTTTCCAGTCTACTGGGCAGTGGGGTAGCCTAGTGGTTAAAGGATACGCTCATCACGCTGAAGATTCTGGTTTGATTCCCCACATGGGAACATTGTGAGAAGCTCATTTCTGTTGTTCCCGGCCGTTATATTGCTTGAATTTTGCTAAAAGCGGCATAAAACTAAACCCAGTCAGTGAGTCAGTACAATCAACCATTTTCCTTCAAGGCTGTATCACAACTTCGGCCCATGGAAGTTGCTCAACCATCGTAAAGGATGACAGTACAGTGTACGGTCCAGGAGACATTGTTGGGTGTGGCATTGTAATGGAGACAGCCAGACTCACTGAAGATGGACGACTTCAGCCGCAGCAGCTGCTGGATGTGTATTTCAGCAAGAATGGAGTCAAGGTAGAGTATGCATCCCCTCATCAGTGTTCATGTAAAGTTCATATTACAAAGTAAACACTGTGTCTTATTGTAAGGAATATATATGTAGAAATCAACATGTGCATGTTTCACCACACATCTGTTTGGAGACACAATCTTTTACATAAGTCATCTGTTGTAAGGCACCATCCTTTAGACAAGTGACCTGTCAAGAGGCACCATCCTTTGTGTCAATCATCTGTTTTGAAGCAACAACCTTTACATGCTATTGTAATCAAGCTTGACCACTCAATCATGTAGAAGACTTTAAATCACAAACTGAGGAGTACTCCTGGAATTGTCTTCTCTTTGGAACTACTTTGGGTAATCATTCATCCTCAGCAGTCCAACACAGGAAAGGTTTAAACTTAAGGTTGCCAGCACTGTGGGCTTGTCATCCCTTGAGAATTGGGTGGGTAAGAATAGGTTGCCAGCACTGTGGGGCTTGTCATCCCTTGAGAATTAGGTGGGTAAGAACAGGTTGCCAGCACTGTGGGGCTTGTCATCCCTTGAGAATTAGGTGGGTAAGAATAGGTTGCCAGCACTGTGGGGCTTGTCATCCCTTGAGAATTAGGTTGGTAAGAACAGGTTGCCAGCACTGTGGGCTTGTCATCCCTTGAGAATTAGGTTGGTAAGAATAGGTTGCCAGCACTGTGGGGCTTGTCATCCCTTGAGAATTAGGTTGGTAAGAACAGGTTGCCAGCACTGTGGGGCTTGTCATCCCTTGAGAATTAGGTGGGTAAGAACAGGTTGCCAGCACTGTGGGGCTTGTTATCCCTTGAGAATTAGGTGGGTAAGAATAGGTTGCCAGCACTGTGGGGCTTGTCATCCCTTGAGAATTAGGTGGGTAAGAACAGGTTGCCAGCACTGTGGGGCTTGTCATCCCTTGAGAATTAGGTGGGTAAGAATAGGTTGCCAGCACTGTGGGCTTGTCATCCCTTGAGAATTTAGGTGGGTAAGAACAGGTTGCCAGCACTGTGGGCTTGTCATCCCTTGAGAATTAGGTGGGTAAGAACAGGTTGCCAGCACTGTGGGGCTTGTCATCCCTTGAGAATTAGGTTGGTAAGAACAGGTTGCCAGCACTGTGGGGCTTGTCATCCCTTGAGAATTAGGTTGGTAAGAACAGGTTGCCAGCACTGTGGGCTTGTTATCCCTTGAGAATTAGGTTGGTAAGAACAGGTTGCCAGCACTGTGGGGCTTGTCATCCCTTGAGAATTAGGTGGGTAAGAACAGGTTGCCAGCACTGTGGGGCTTGTCATCCCTTGAGAATTAGGTGGGTAAGAATAGGTTGCCAGCACTGTGGGCTTGTCATCCCTTGAGAATTAGGTGGGTAAGAACAGGTTGCCAGCACTGTGGGGCTTGTCATCCCTTGAGAATTAGGTGGGTAAGAATAGGTTGCCAGCACTGTGGGCTTGTCATCCCTTGAGAATTAGGTGGGTAAGAATAGGTTGCCAGCACTGTGGGGCTTGTCATCCCTTGAGAATTAGGTGGGTAAGAACAGGTTGCCAGCACTGTGGGGCTTGTCATCCCTTGAGAATTAGGTGGGTAAGAACAGGTTGCCAGCACTGTGGGGCTTGTCATCCCTTGAGAATTAGGTTGGTAAGAACAGGTTGCCAGCACTGTGGGGCTTGTCATCCCTTGAGAATTAGGTTGGTAAGAACAGGTTGCCAGCACTGTGGGGCTTGTCATCCCTTGAGAATTAGGTGGGTAAGAATATGTTGCCAGCACTGTGGGGCTTGTCATCCCTTGAGAATTAGGTTGGTAAGAACAGGTTGCCAGCACTGTGGGGCTTGTCATCCCTTGAGAATTAGGTGGGTAAGAATAGGTTGCCAGCACTGTGGGGCTTGTCATCCCTTGAGAATTAGGTTGGTAAGAACAGGTTGCCAGCACTGTGGGGCTTGTCATCCCTTGAGAATTAGGTGGGTAAGAATAGGTTGCCAGCACTGTGGGGCTTGTCATCCCTTGAGAATTAGGTGGGTAAGAACAGGTTGCCAACACTGTGGGGCTTGTCATCCCTTGAGAATTAGGTGGGTAAGAATACGGACTGTATAGTTTGTGTTTCACTGATCACTATGTGCTGAGTTGTACAAAACATATCAAACTATCCAAACTGACAAATGCTGCATGTATTCAGGTGCATGAAGCCAAGTTTTGCTACCAGAGTGATGGATTGTTCCCCTGTGTGTGCCTTCACCACGACCAAGATCGAGTCCAGCTGGCAAACTATTATCCTGGCTGCTTTCCAGTCGAGAAACAGGTATGTGTGACAGTCTTTCATTTCTCCACTTTCTCCTGCACCTCTTCCAGTAACAGAGGTGTTGGTGGTAAGACAAAGTCGTCATCATGTAGCAGAGGTGTTGTAGTAAGACAAAGTTGTTATTGTGTAGCAGAGGTGTTGGTAGTAAGACAAAGTTGTCATTGTTTAGCAGAGGTGTTGTAGTAACACAAAGTTGTCATCATGTAGCAGAGGTGTTGGTAGTAAGACAAAGTTGTCATCATGTAGCAGAGGTGTTGGTGGTAAGACAAAGTTGTCATCATGTAACAGAGGTGTTGGTAGCAGTACAAAGTTGTCATTGTGTAACAGAGGTGTTGTAGTAAGACAAAGTTGTCATCATGTAGCAGAGGTGTTGGTGGTAAGACAAAGTTGTCATTGTGTAGCAGAGGTGTTGTAGTAAGACAAACCTGTCATTGTGTAGCAGAGGTGTTGGGAGTAAGACAAAGTTGTCATTGTGTAGCAGAGGTGTTGGGAGTAAGACAAAGTTGTCATCATGTAGCAGAGGTGTTGGGAGTAAGACAAAGTTGTCATCATGTAGCAGAGGTGTTGTAGTAAGACAAAGTTGTTATTGTGTAGCAGAGGTGTTGGTAGTAAGACAAAGTTGTCATTGTTTAGCAGAGGTGTTGTAGTAACACAAAGTTGTCATCATGTAGCAGAGGTGTTAGTAGTAAGACAAAGTTGTCATCATGTAGCAGAGGTGTTGGTGGTAAGACAAAGTTGTCATCATGTAACAGAGGTGTTGGTAGCAGTACAAAGTTGTCATTGTGTAACAGAGGTGTTGTAGTAAGACAAAGTTGTCATCATGTAGCAGAGGTGTTGGTGGTAAGACAAAGTTGTCATTGTGTAGCAGAGGTGTTGTAGTAAGACAAACCTGTCATTGTGTAGCAGAGGTGTTGGGAGTAAGACAAAGTTGTCATTGTGTAGCAGAGGTGTTGGGAGTAAGACAAAGTTGTCATCATGTAGCAGAGGTGTTGGGAGTAAGACAAAGTTGTCATTGTGTAGCAGAGGTGTTGGGAGTAAGACAAAGTTGTCATCATGTAGCAGAGGTGTTGGGAGTAAGACAAAGTTGTCATCATGTAGCAGAGGTGTTGGGAGTAAGACAAAGTTGTCATTGTGTAGCAGAGGTGTTGGTAGTAAGACAAAGTTGTTATTGTGTAGCAGAGGTGTTGGTGGTAAGACAAAGTTGTCATCATGTAGCAGAGGTGTTGGTAGTAAGACAAAGTCATCTGTCAGGTGTTGGAGGTTTGTCATCAGGTGTTGGTGGTAGAATTGTTGGTGGTAAGACAAAGTTGTCATCATGTAGCAGAATTGTTGGTGGTAAGACAAAGTTGTCATGATGTAGCAGAGGTGTTGGGAGTAAGACAAAGTTGTCATCATGTAGCAGAGGTGTTGGGAGTAAGACAAAGTTGTCATTGTGTAGCAGAGGTGTTGGGAGTAAGACAAAGTTGCCATTGTGTAGCAGAGGTGTTGGGAGTAAGACAAAGCTGTCATTGTGTAGCAGAGGTGTTGGGAGTAAGACAAAGCTGTCATTATGTAGCAGAGGTGTTGGAAGTAAGACAAAGTTGTCATCATGTAGCAGAGGTGTTGGTGGTAAGACAAAGTTGTCATCATGTAGCAGAGGTGTTGGGAGTAAGACAAAGCTGTCATTATGTAGCAGAGGTGTTGGTGGTAAGACAAAGTTGTCATTGTGTAGCAGAGGTGTTGGGAGTAAGACAAAGTTGTCATTGTGTAGCAGAGGTGTTGGGAGTAAGACAAAGTTGTCATCATGTAGCAGAGGTGTTGGTGGTAAGACAAAGTTGTCATCATGTAGCAGAGGTGTTGGGAGTAAGACAAAGTTGTTATTGTGTAGCAGAGGTGTTGGGAGTAAGACAAAGCTGTCATCATGTAGCAGAGGTGTTGGTGGTAAGACAAAGTTGTCATCATGTAGCAGAGGTGTTGGGAGTAAGACAAAGTTGTTATTGTGTAGCAGAGGTGTTGGGAGTAAGACAAAGTTGTCATTATGTAGCAGAGGTGTTGGTAGTAAGACAAAGTTGTTATTGTGTAGCAGAGGTGTTGTAGTAACACAAAGTTGTCATCATGTAGCAGAGGTGTTGGGAGTAAGACAAAGTTGTCATTGTGTAGCAGAGGTGTTGTAGTAAGACAAAGCTGTCATTGTGTAGCTGAGGTGTTGTAGTAAGACTAAGTGTTAAATGTAATCTTGCTATAATTATGCTACCATTAAACATTTTCCAAAGTAAACTTTGGTCAATAGTGCCATGCTGGAGACTTTTTGGATTTTGTCATCAACAATCAGTATTGTTTTCAGGTGGATGACAAAACCACAAAACAAGCACAGGTACGTGTAGCTTATAGTGGTGTGAGCATCCAGGTATGTGTAGTATACAGTGTTGTGAGCATCCAGGTACGTGTAGCATACAGTTGTGTGAGCGTCCAGGTATGTGTTGCTTATAGTGGTGTGAGCATCCAGGTATGTGTAGCTTATAGTGGTGTGAGCGTCCAGGTATGTGTAGTGTACAGTATTGTGAGCATCCAGGTACGTGTAGTTTACAGTTGTGTGAGCGTCAGGGTGCGTGTAGTTTACAGTTGTGTAAGCGTCCAGGTACGTGTAGTATACAGTGTTGTGAGCATCCAGGCATGCGTAGTAGTATACATTGTTGTGAGCATCCAGGCACGCGGTAGCATACAGTTGTGTGAGCGTCCAGGCACGCGTGTAGTATACAGTTGTGTGGCGTCCAGGTAATGCGTACGTAGTATACAGTGTTGTGAGCATTCCAGATGCACGTAGTATACAGTTGTGTATGCGTCCAGGCACGCGTGTAGCATACAGTTGTGTGAGCATCCAGGTGCGTGTAGTATACAGTTGTGTGAGTGTCCAGGTAATTTGTAGTTTACAGTTGTGTGAGTGTCCAGGCACGCGGTAGTTTACAGTTGTGTGGAGTGGCCAGGTGCGCAGTAGTATACAGTTGTGTGAGCATCCAGGCGCGTGTAGTATTCATTGTTTTGAGCATCCAGGTACATGTGGTATACAGTGTTGTGAGCATCCAGGCACGTAGTAGTATACAGTTGTGTAAGCGTCCAGGTATGTGTAGTATACAGTTGTGTAAGCCGCGTCCAGGTAAGTGTAGTAGTATACAGTTGTGTAAGCATCCAGGTGCGTGTAGTATACAGTGTTGTGAGCATCAAGGTACTTGTAGTATAGAGTGTTGTGAGCATCCAGGTAACGCAGTAGTTTACAGTTGTGTAAGCATCCAGGCACGTGTAGTATATGGCAGTGTTGTGAGCATCAAGGCACTTGTAGTATACAGTTGTGTGAGGCGCCCAGGTGCGTGTAGTATACAGTTGTGTGAGCATCCAGGTACGTGTAGCATACAGTGTTGTGAGCATCCAGGTGCGTGTAGCATACAGTGTTGTGAGCATCCAGGTGCACGTAGTTTACAGTTGTGTAAGCATCCAGGCAATGCGTGTAGTATACAGTGTTGTGAGCATCCAGGTAATGTAGTATACAGTTGTGTAGCGTCCAGGTGCGATGTAGTATACAGTGTGTGTAAGCGTCCAGGCATGCAGTAGCATACAGTTGTGTGAGCATCCAGGCATGCGCAGTAGTATACAGTTATGTGAGCATCCAGGTATGTGTAGTTTACAGTTGTGTATGGCGTCCCAGGCACGCGTGTAGCATACAGTTGTGTGAGCATCCAGGCACGCGGTAGTATACAGTTATGTGAGCATCCAGGTATGTGTAGTTTACAGTTGTGTAAGCGTCCAGGCATGCGTAGTAGTATACAGTTGTGTGAGCATCCAGGTACGTGTAGTATTCATTGTTTTGAGCATCCAGGTACATGTAGTATACAGTGTTGTGAGCATCCAGGTAACGGCGGTATACAGTTGTAAGGCGATCCAGGTATGTGTAGTATACAGTTGTGTAAGCCGCCCAGGCACGCAGTAGTATACAGTTGTGTAAGCATCCAGGCATGCGTAGCATACAGTGTTGTGAGCATCAAAGCAACTTGTAGTATACAGTGTTGTGAGCATCCAGGCACGGTAGTTTACAGTTGTGTAAGCATCCAGGTAACGTGTAGTATACAGTGTTGTGAGCATCAAGGCACTTGTAGCATTATAGCCAGTGTGAGCGTCCAGGTGCGCAGTAGCATACAGTTGTGTGAGCATCCAGGTATGCAGTAGCATACAGTGCTGTGAGCATCCAGGTAACGCAGTAGTATACAGTGTTGTGAGCATCCAGGCACGTGTAGTTTACAGTTGTGTAAGCATCCAGGCACGCGGTGTAGTATACAGTGTTGTGAGCATCCAGGCACGTAGTATACAGTTGTGTGGCGTCCAGGTCCGTGTAGTATACAGTTGTGTGAGCATCCAGGGCGTAGTATGGTATTCATTGTTTTGAGCATCCAGGCACGTGTAGTATACAGTGTTGTGAGCATCCAGGTACGTGTAGTATACAGTTGTGTAAGCGTCCAGGTATGTGTAGTATGCAGTTGTGTAAGCGTCCAGGTACGTGTAGTATACAGTTGTGTGAGCGTCCAGGTACGTGTAGTATACAGTGTTGTGAGCATCCAGGTACATGTAGTATACAGTTGTGTAAGCGTCCCGGTACGTGTAGGATACAGTCGTGTAAGCGTCCAGGTATGTGTAGTATACAGTGTTGTGAGCGTCCAGGTATGTGTAGTTTACAGTTGTGTGAGTGTCCAGGTAGGTGTAGTATACAGCTGTGTAAGCGTCCAGGTATGTGTAGTATACAGTTTTGTGAGCATCCAGGTATGTGTAGCATACAGTTGTGTGAGCGTCCAGGTATGTGTAGTTTACCGTTGTGTCAGCGTCCAGGTATGTGTAGTTTACAGTTGTGTAAGCGTCCAGGTATGTGTAGTATACAGTTGTATGAGCGTCCAGGTATGTGTAGTTTACAGTTGTGTCAGCGTCCAGGTATGTGTAGTTTACAGTTGTGTGAGCGTCAAGGTACGTGTAGTTTACAGTTGTGTGAGCGTCCAGGTACGTGTAGTTTACAGTTGTGTGAGCATCCAGGTGTGTGTAGTTTACAGTTATGTGAGCGCCCAGGTACATGTAGTTTACAGTGGTTAGCTGTGAGCGTCCAGGCAGTGGCAGGGTTACAGTTGTGTGAGTGTCCAGGTAACGTGTAGTTTACAGTTGTGTGAGTGTCCAGGTAATGCGTGTAGTTTACAGTTGTGTGAGTGTCCAGGTACTTGTAGTTTACAGTTGTGTGAGTGTCCAGGTAATGCGTGTAGTTTACAGTTGTGTGAGCCAGAATGTGTGTGAGCATCCGGAATGCGTGTAGTTTAGAGTTGTGTGAGGAGTCCAGGTGTGTGTAGTATACAGTTGTGTGGCGATCAAAGGCAAGTGTAGTTTACAGTTGTGTGAGCGTCCAGGTACATGTAGTTTACAGTTGTCTGAGCATCCAGGTGTGTGTAGTTTACAGTTGTGTGAGCGTCCAGGTACATGTAGTTTACAGTTGTGGTCAGCTGTGTGAGCGTCCAGAATGCGTGTAGTTTACAGTTGTGTGAGCATCCAGGAATGCGTGTAGTATACAGTTGTGTGAGTGTCCAGGTACTTGTAGTTTACAGTTGTGTGAGTGTCCAGGTACGTGTAGTTTACAGTTGTGTGAGTGGCCAGGTACTTGTAGTTTACAGTTGTGTGAGTGTGTAAAAAAGATTTGGTTCCCCCATAGTAAAAGTTCCGGCGGAACTTTTCATTCCAACGTTTGTTCCTGTAATAGTGCATGCAGAACAATTATTTCGTTCCGCACACACTGAATTTATTCCGGGTAAAGAGGAACTTCCACACACATCATAAAAGTGTCTAAAAAGAAGGTTTTGTTTGTTGGGGTGGTCTTAAAAATTGGGGCGTGGGGAAACGGAAAGGAAAAAAAGATTTTCCTCTCGGTATTTGTTCCATATGGAACAAATCATGTGGCTATCAAGAAGCAATTATCGTATTGTGTGAAAGTTACTTAATTTTTTTATGAAAATACATTGTAGATTCCCAGAATTTTAACTGATGATTCTAAATGAATCTTGTGTTAAAAAGAGTTCAGTTATTATGTAACCAGGTTACCTTCATTAATCAGGTTACAGTCAGTAGCCAGGTTACAGTCAACATGTAACCAAGTTACAGTCAGTCAGTAGCCAGGTTACAGTTATTATGTGACCAAGTTACAGTTGGTCGGGTAGCCAGGTTACATTCAATATGTAACCAAGTTAGAGATTAGTCAGTAGCCAGGTTACAGTCAAAATGTAAACCAGCAGTTACAGTCAGTCAGTAGCCAGGTTACAGTCAACATGTTACCAAGTTACAGCTAGTCAGTAGCCAGGTTACAGTCAACATGTAACCAAGTTACCATGTAACCAAGAACATTTACTACTCGGAACTAAATCATGTTTACAAGTGTCCAGGTACGTGTAGTTTACAGTTGTGTGAGTGTCAATGTATATGTAGTTTACAGTTGGGACACATTTGTGGGTGTGAGATTTGCATGGAGTTGGCAGATGTGTGGGTGTCACTACTGACACTCAGGACACCTACACTCTCTACCTGCACAGTACACAGTTCACTACCGACTCTCAGCAACTACAGTCACTATCTATATAAGACATCTACACTCTCTACCTGCACAGTACACAGTTCACTACCGACACTCAGCAACTACAGTTGCTATCTATACAGGACACCTACACTCTCTACCTGCACACTACACAGTTCACTACCGACTCTCAGCAACTACAGTCACTATCTATATAAGACACCTACACTCTCTACCTGCACAGTACACAGTTCACTACCGACACTCAGCAACTACAGTCACTATCTATATAAGACACCTACACTCTCTACCTGCACTGTACACAGTTCACTACCGACACTCAGCAACTACAGTTGCTATCTATACAGGACACCTACACTCTCTACCTGCACAGTACACAGTTCACTACTAACATTCAGCAACTACAGTCACTATCTATATAAGACACCTACACTCTCTACCTGCACTGTACACAGTTCACTACTGACACATTCAGCAACTACAGTCACTATCTATATAAGACACCTACACTCTCTACCTGCACTGTACACAGTTCACTACCGACATTCAGCAACTACAGTCACTATCTATATAAGACACCTACACTCTCTACCTGCACAGTACACAGTTCACTACCGACACTCAGCAACTACAGTCACTATCTATACAGGACACCTACACTCTCTAGCTGCACAGAACACAGTTCACTACTGACACTCAGCAACTACAGTTGCTATCTATACAGGACACCTACACTCTCTACCTGCACACAGTACACAGTTCACTACCAA